GCCAACATTCCCTTCCCTCTTAGCTGGCACTCGGAGGGGCCAAACCCTCCGCCGAATTTTCTAAGGGAAACCTTCACTTTTTATTCCCTCACATTTGAGCCTCACAATGCCCGAGCAGGAGTCCCAGCGTTCCACCAGTGTCGCCTCTACCTTTCGAGCTCTGAAGGGGCAGGGAGGGTCCCTTCACTCCAAACCCCGACACACCCCCTGTTTGAACGCCGGGAGTTTTCCAACTCACTGACGTATCCACACATTGCACCCAAGACTCATCAGCTCAAAGAGGGTGATATGACAGTAAAAGGGATAAGGGGCTAAGCGGATACCAGAGGAGTGGACAGAGGGGAGCTGAGGCAGTCACGAGGAGGCTCGGACAGGATGGGAGTCCACGTGTTGGGTGGAGGGCCCACTGAGCACTCACCTGCCTAGGGTGGAGTAGCCCTTTCTTGTATCGCATCAGGTCAGCACGTGCTTCTACGTCTCAGTTATGTACTAAACTGACCCCACCCAGCAGAGGCCCCATTCCTTTCGTCTTCCTCCTCCTACCTGGTCCTCTTCTACCTGGACTACACCTTTGCCTCAGGGGAGCCCTCCGTGAGGAAAGGACAAAGGACACGCTGGGGACCAGGATATCTACATGTTCAGAATGCCATTCTTTACCACCTCATGGCCACCATGCAGCATGGTGCCATACCTGTGACCAACACTGAGTCCTTGCCTGACCCTGGACAGTCCAGATTTTCTTAAGTGTTCCTGGTGAGCCAAAGCTGGGCCAGACTTTACAGCTCTATGGAACCAAGGACACACATCAGGGCTCCTTCAGCAAGACCAGGTGAGAGAAGGGGTCAGGTGCGGGCATGTGGAGGGGAGGCGTCTTGTGGGATCCTGGCATCATGCTGGGGTAACTCAGGTAGTTGTGGCCAGAGAAAGGAATGAGTCCACCTTTCCCGGGAGGTCTCCGTTCGCTCACCCACCCACTCCGCCCACGCGCAAAGCCACCTACGGCCCCACCCTTTGCCTAGAGTCCCACCCCGTGAAATAAAGCCACGCCCCGTGGGAGAATAAGCGCTCCTCCCATCCCCCCGCCGCAGTTCTATCCTGAGTGGAGCAAGGCAAGGATCCATCCAAACCGGGTCTTTCGGGAAACCCTGGAGCGCGAAGGCTTCTGGGGAATTAAGTTTTCACTGGGCACCTCGGCTGGGTTTACGCATGCTCGCGGCTAGGGGCGGAGTCGGACTCCTACGTGGAGAGCTCGGTTTTCCACCTCTTAAGCATGTTTCCCCCAGACCCATTTCCTTCTACTTGCTAAGTTGCTCAACCTGCCTGACTGGCTCTACGCAGGCTACTCAGTCACCCTGGCTTGCAGTCCCTGTCCTACTTGGTCTCTCCTTCCTGGTGTTTTCCCGAATGGTGTCCGAGCCTGTCCCACTGTAGTGTAGATCCAGAAGAGCTCACCGGTTGGTCCATAAGCTTGCTACTATTGTTTCACCCCTAGCCCCACCGTCATTCTTCGTGTCCCCTATGGGCAAGGAGGTGAAGATACAGAAGCAAAAGGGTGCCAGGGCCAAGAATGGGTGCAGGGGACAGAAAACTTTGGGAAACTTTCACCCCAACTCACCAACACAGGGAAACTGCAGTTTCAAAAACAAGCCGAAAATGTCACTGTGTCTGAAATCCATGTCACCAATTATAAGATGAGTAAATTATATCTACAAAGTTGTGTCAAACATTTTTTTATTATTATTAAAGTGGACAACCCTCCAAGTAGTCTCAAGAATCCCAGTATCTGCTGGGTATGGGCAGTAGGTGGCAAGGAGGAACTCTGGACAGTGCTGTAGAAATGTGAGCAACGGCTGGATAACCCCATCCCATCGGAAGGCCCCAGAATCCAATGGCCTGCCTCCACTTCCTTCCAGAGGCCATGACCCAAGGAGGTAGATGAATCGTGATTGACTCACCCTAGATTGGCAAATGCCCCTTAGAGCCCAAACCTTGGCCTCCACCCATCTGGGAATGAGGGGTGACTGGCTGCTGTGCTCTAGTTGCTAAGGCCTCTTAGGATCTTGGGAACCCCATCTTTGAGCTCCACCCCAAAGCCCCACCCCTCTCTAGGAGGGAAAAGGCACCTGCTGGTAGCTGTGTTCGCAGGCACTGGGACCTGGAGCTGGAAGACAAGAACACATACTGCTGCTGCTGCTTACTGCAGGTGAGTCCTTGCCCCAGTGACTGACCTGTACTTAGAGGGACCTCCTAAGACAGCCCCTACTCTCCCTTGGACCAGCTCACCAGTGTCTCCTAGCCTTATATCCCCATTCCCAGCTGCATCCAGGAGCATTTCTTGGATACTTGATGGAGGGTGGCAACTGGTACTTGGACCTACCTCCAAGACACATAGGCCTTGTGTGTATTCTGATGTCCCCACATCTGCCTGCAGATACCTCAGTGATATGGCTCTTCACAAGGCAGGCTCCTCCTAAATGGGTGTCTTCTTGGGCTACAGGCTTCTAAGCAGCTTTTTTCTTCCCTGTGTCCACATATGTGTCTCTGCTCACCCCTGCAGCCTGGGCCATGGACCCCCATGAGATACTTACGAAGAATCCATATGCCCATATCAGCATCCCTCGGGCTCACCTGCGGTCTGACCTGGGGCAGCAGTTAGAGGAGGTTCCCTCTTCATCTTCCTCCTCTGAGACTCAGCCTCTGCCTTCAGGAACCTGTGTCCCAGAACCAGTGGGCATCTTGCAACCCACTGAAGCCCCAGGGCCCAAGGGGATCAAGGGTATCAAAGGTACTCCTGAGCAGAGCCAACAGACCTGGCAGTCACCCTGCAATCCCTATAGCAGTGGGCAGCGTCCATCAGGACTGACCTATGCTGGCCTGCCGCCTGTGGGGCGTGGCGATGACATTGCCCACAACTGCTGCTGCTTCCCTTGCTGCTCTTGCTGCCACTGTCCACGATTCTGCCGTTGTCACAGCTGTTGTTGTGTTGTCTCCTAGCCTGGCTATCCAATATCCAGGGCTGTGGGGCCCAGGCCTGAGCTCAATGCCAAAGTGGTGCTGGACATCAGAAGCGGCCATTGTCATGGGCATCAGCCACTTGCTGGTCTGGACGGGGGAGCCTGTCCACCAGGAAGGATCAACTGGCGCCCTCTGGAATATGGTCCCAGCCACCAACCACATTGGCAGAATAGGGACACCCTTCAGTTCCTGCAAGACTTTGGCAATAAAGCAGGGTGAGCATTGTGCCAGTGACTCCTTTTTTTGCCAGGGGCCCATTTGGGAGAGGGTCCTAGTCTGGACAGCTACTTTTGCCCTCAAATACACAAATACAATCTCCCCAGTAGGCTCCCAGACCCTGTGGGACCTTCCAGAGACTGGAAAGCCACTGCCTCATGACATCCACAATTTAGGGGCCTTGCAGGCTTCAGTCCACCCAGGGGCCTGTAGGTGGTAATATGTTCACCTCCCTGGGCCAGGTCCCAGTTCTCCCTAGGGCTAAAGCTGAGGTAGTAAACAAGGTTAACCAAGTCACAAGATGGGGGTCTCATACTTGCCACTGTGGGGGGCCCCAAGAAAATACTCTGGGGAAGGATCAGATTGGAGGGCTGTTGGTGGGTGGGGTTGATGTTAGCAGGTTTCAGGGAGTGGGAGCTCAAGATCCAGGGCCCAAAACCCAGCCCTGCCCAATGTGAGTCACCTCCCGGCCTCAGCCAGGGCATGTTTCTAGTTTCCCACAAAAGATAATTCCTACAATCCAAAGTTCTGCTGTTGAACCTATTTCGAGTGATGTGTACCAGGCTTTGAAGATGAGGCAGGGAAGGGTGAAGGGGGAGTGTTCTCTTCTTGTCTGTCCAAGCAGTGTAAGATGCCTGCTGGGGGCATGTATGAGACACCAGGGTAGGGAGTGTGCAAGCAGGCCAGCTCTGGGTAGCCTGGTGTTTCCGGGGCAGGGCAGAGCCACAGCGCCACATGAAGAGGAAGAGCTGGCCTCACAAGACAAACGAGTCCTCCTGAAGTTGGCCCTCCCCTGATGCAGAGACAGGTCATATAAGAGGGCAGGCTAGATGTGTAGTGTATAGAGGTCTCCAGGTCATTGCCCTGACTCTCCTCTCCAAGCCCCTTGTCCCCTGATCCAGTGAAGGCCAGCACAGGAACCCGTTTGACCAGTCTTAAAGGCAGATTGCCAAGCAGGTGGGTAAAAGTGAGAAAGGAAGCTTGCTGTGCCCTTTGGCTTTCTCCTAGCAACCCTGTGTGCAGTCCTAGGGGTCCTGCCAGCCTGTCCCATCTCAACTGGGTCTCCCTCATTCTGTGCTGTCTCCAGTCCTCATCACAGGGAACACTGATCCCACTTCCCTCAACTGTCTGTCTGGACTATTGCAAAGGCTAAGGGTCCCATAGGCAATCAATTGGGAGGTGCTTGGGATGGGGTGTGGGGTTTCTGGGATGATGGTTGTGTGAGGGAGTCTATCTGAGTGCCACTTCAGGGCTGATGGGCAGGCTCCTGCCTGTGACATCACAGGATAGACCTAGTTTAGGTAGGGAGGAAGGTGATCCTGAGAAGTGCCATAAATTAGCAAGAATATGCTCCCTACCATGGAGCTAGGGGTAGGAGCAGGTTCCCTGGGAGGTGATGTGAGCTGAGGCTGAAGAGTGAGCATCCCTCAGGCCAAAACAGGAAAACATTACAAAAGGGGGATCAAATGAGGAGTGAGGGCTTGAGCTTGGGAGAAGGGTACAGGAATGGGGAGGACATAAACTCTGGGGACATCTAGGGTGGAGAAAGATAAAGCCAGATCTCTAGGAGTTACAGGAGGGAGTGGTCTGGATAGCATCCGTTCTGCAGGGGGCTGGTTCACCTGATTGCCTGCCCAGTGGGTGGTGCCTCAGATCCAGTTGCAGGCGCTTTGTGGCTGAAAGGGGAGCCCACTCTCAGTTGATGCAGCCACCACCTGCCTCCTGCCGACTTGCCTGTGTGGCCAGTAACGCGAGCCCAAGGAAGGAGCCATGAGGTGTCCAGGGTCCCCACCCCCTTCTCCTGCAATCCTCTAGCTGGGAATATCTTTCTTGGTGGAGTGGATGCAGGTAAGAGAAGCCTGGGGTTCAGTAAGGCTAAGGGCTGGGGAGGGCCATGGAAGGGTCTCAACAGTGAGGTGCAGTGTTGTTTCAGGCGATGGCCACAGAAACGAGAGGTATGTCCAGACTTGGTGTTAGCCCAAGGCCAACATCTTCCCTCCAGGTGTGCAGACATTACTGTCCCTTAGCCCTGTCATCTGTCATCTAGGGGTTAACATGGACCAAAACATCACATAGGTGGGTTGAGGTGGACTGTAGCTTGTGCTGTTGCCCTGTTGGTTCCCTCTTACTTTCCCTAGGATGCTGCAGCCTGAAGGCCCCCAAGCCTTGGAGGAAGGGGCAGCCCTGACAGCCCCACGGAATGACTGCATCATTTGCTACTCTGCCTATGACCTCTCAGTACACTTGCCTCGCCGCCTCTACTGTGGCCACACCTTTTGCCAGGCATGCATGCGGCGGCTGGACACTCCAGCCCAGGAACAGCACTGGATCCCCTGCCCACAGTGCCGTCAAAGTACCCCTATGCCCCGAGGAGGGGTGACCATGTTGGACCTGGACCTAGCTGCCTTTTTGGCAGTCAAAGCTGAACGGGAACCATCAAGATTAGAACCCAGGTCCTCTGTCCCCCTCAAAGTCAGCACTACCATCACTCAGCAGCCAGCTGGACTCTACCCCACCTTGGGCCCCCAACCCCACTTTCCTGAGCCTGGCTGTTGCTGCTGGGGCTGGGGAAGACTGTGTTGGTATCCCCCTGGGAACCCTGAGATCTAAATTCTGGCTATCTCCACCTCCACAAAGCAAACCGGGCTAGCAGCTTGCCTGCCTTGGAGCCACTGATCATACACCGTGCAAATGGAACAGCCTGCTAGCAGGGAATCCTCCTTATAGTCCTGCATGACCCAACATAGTGGCGTCACCCTGACCAGAGACATCTCAGGTTATAACCTAAGGTCAGAGTCAATGGCCACAGTAGGCTGGTGACTTCCCATTATACTAGTCTAGATTTCCATACCCCAAACTAGCCTGACTTTGTTTGGCTAACCAACATTCTTCTGTCTATGTCACCTGTAAACCCAGGATTTAGCTCAGAGAGTGGCTCCTACAAGTCTGTGGGAATAAGTGGCTGGGACAGGGCCAGGCTGTGGTTGTGTATGAGTGGCTGGCATCAGAGCAGGTCTGCCTCTCGGTAGACATTCAGAGGTATGAGCCAGGAGGGAGAGCAGGTTACCTCCTTTGTCCCGGAGTCTTACCTGTTTCATCTATTCTACAGTGGCCACTGAGCTACTCCCATGAGCCAGGCACTATTCTGAGAGTGTCTGCCGTAGCACAAAGCCCCCTCTTTGACAGGCATCACACCAGGGTACCATAAGGACAAGGAGTCTTGCCTGAGGTCTCACAGCTCATCATCCTATCTCATACAATTTTTTTGTTGTTGTTGTTTTGGTTTTTTGAGACAGGGTTTCTCTGTAGTTTTGGAGCCTGTCCTGGAACTCTCTCTGTAAACCAGGCTGGCCTCGAACTCCCTGCCTCCCCAGTGCTGGGATCAAAGGTGTGCAACACCGCTGCCCGGCTCAATCATCCTATCTCAAGACTCCCAGCCTCTTTCTGCCTCTGGTGACCATAATAACATAGACTCTTGTATAGGTGCTCAAGGTTACAGATTACTGACAACCCTCAGGCCAAACCCTCTGTAACCCTCCATCCCTCTAGGAAGGAGTTGTATTCAGGAGCCCCTGGGAGGGGCCTCCTGAGGAGTGGTTGTAGGATGGGGAAGAAAGAGAATTTGCTGAATAGACATCAAGAAGACTCCTTCCCTGGGCAAAGTCCCTCAAGCACCCAGGGACAGAGCTGGGCAGTGAGCAGAGCAGGGTGCTGGAGCCTACAGGGCTGCTGGAGAAATAGCTTGCAGGGGAGGGCCTAGTACCCAACCCAGGGGCTGGAAGGGGGCTGACCCACAAGACAGGACATTTCACAGCACATGGGTTCAGAATAGCACTCATCTGGGAAAAGATACTCAGATAGGGTTCAGGCAATGAACACTGTGGGATGGGGAAGGGCTCTGCCCTCCTCCCTCCATCTTTGCAGATAGAGACTCTGTGTCCTGGCCCCCTGCTAGTCTCCACAGAAAGCCCTTCTGGACCTAGCACTACCCTTAAATTCAGATTTGAATCTGCTGACCTGAGAGCCTGGGTACCTTCCCAGGCCACCTGAGGAAATCTGTCTTCCACACCCAGTTGGTGCAAAGGGCTTCTTCCATCTCATCTCTATCAGGTGCACAGATGATCATGATAAGGTTTGCAGAGTTCAAAGGAACACAGAAAGAGAAGGGCAACATTCCGGGGTCCCTAGGCAGCCGCAGCCAGAATGAAAGCGTCCTGCCTGGGTGGTGTAGAGTGTCCATTAAATGTATCAGATGCCTACTGGTGGCTGCAGTGTCTAGCTCTATTATACTCCTGGCCATGTGTTGCCCATCCCTAGAAGTTCCACCCCAAAAGAGTTAGGCTGGGGGATCAGAACTCCTAACCTTAGGATGACAAGGACCTGAGTAAGTCCTCGGGGCCAGGCAGGGTCTCCCCTTGGGGGCCCCAGCTCCTGGGTAAACATTAATGGGGCTCCACACACAGCAGGTCATGTGCACACTGGGCAGATCTTTGACCTGCAGCTATTCCTGCTGGGCCTCCTTCCTGCTGGTGCCCCTCACCACACATGCAGGTAGGAGCTCCTAGAACTAGACCAAGCTAAGGGGCACTAGACCAGAGCTGAGTGACCACCAGTTCCAGGGTTTGGGCACCATTCTGAACCCCCAGGACCTTAGAGCAAGTGAGAAGAACCTAAGGGCAAGCCAGAGGGAGGGGACACAAAGGACCCCTGGACCTGAGCCCAAGCACTAGGGAAGGGGGTCAGGGTAGACTAGGATTCAAAGAGTTCCATACCCAGAGACCCATGGAGCCAGAGCTGCTAGAAGGGACCTGACGTGAGCAGGGGGCTCCCAAGCCCTGCTCCTAAGTTGGGGGTGGGGTGGGGCTCTTATCAAGCAAAGACGTCACTTGTTTGGTATCAAATACCAAAGTCTAAGCTGGGACCATCTGCAGTGTCCTCACTGACACTTGATAGGAGAAATCCCAGGGCTCTCTAGCTACCGGCTACTTCCAGCC